GAAAACCAAATTACTAGTATCAAGAATGAAAAGGGTGAATCCACCAACAAGGAAGAGGAAATTAAAACAATAATTGGTAACTATTTTGCCCAACTGTATGCCAATAAATTTGACAATCTTAGTGAAATGGATACATATTTACAGAAATATAAATTGTCCAGATTAATAGAAGAGGAAGTAAGTATTTTACTTATTTAAGTATTTTACTTCAACAACCCCATCTCAGAAAAAAAAAATTGAACAAGCTATTGATGAACTCCCTAGGAAAAAATCTTCAAGGCCAGATGCATTTACATGTGAATTCTATCAAACATTTAAAGAACAGTTAATAGTATATAGATTATTTGGGAAAATAGGTGAAGAAGGAGTCTTACCAAATTCTTTTTATAATGCTGATACCTAAACCAGGAAGAGTCAAAAGAGAGAAGGAAAATTATAGACCAATTTCTCTAATGAATGTAGATGCAAAAATTTTAAATAAAATATTAGCAAATAGATTACAGCAATTTATCACAAGAATAATACACTATGACCAGGTGGGATTTATGACAAGGAATGCAGGGCTGGTTCAATATTAGGAAAACTATCAGTATAATTGATAATATCAACACCAAAACTAACAGAAACAACATGATCATCTCAATAGATGCAGAAAAGCTTTTGACAAAATATAACACCCATTCCTATTGAAAACACTAGAGAGCATAGGAATGAGTAGAGTCTTCCTTAAAATAATCTACCTAAAACCTTCAGTAAGTATCATAAGTAATGGGGACAAGCTACAAGCATTTCCAATAAGATTGGGAGTGAAACAAGGATGTCCATTATCACCACTGTTGTTCAATATCGTACAGGAAACGTTAGCTTTAGCAATAAGAGAAGAAAAGGAAATTGAAGATATTAGAATAGGCAAAGAAGAAACAAAGCTATCACTCTTTGCAGATGACATGATGATATACTTAGAGAATCCTAGAGAATCAAGTAAAAAACTACGTGAAATAATAAACAACTTTAGCAAAGTTGCAGGCTATAAAATAAACCCACATTAATCATTGGCATTTCTATATATTACCAACAAAGCCCAACAACAAAATATACAAAGAGAAATTCCATTTAAACTTACTATAGACATTATAAAATATTTACGAGTCTACCTCCCAAAACAAACCCAGGAACTATATGAACACAATTACAAAACACTTTCACACAAAGTCAGATCTAAATAATTGGGAAAACATCAGTTGCTCCGGGGTAGGCCGAGCTAATATAATAAAAATGACAATTCTACTTAAGCTAATTTACTTATTCAGTGCCATACCAATCAAACTACCAAAAGTTATTTTATAAAGTTAGAAAAAATAATAACAAGATTCATTTGGAAGAGCAAAAGATCCAGAATATCAAGGGAACTAATGAAAAGAAAAGCAGGGGAAGTTGGCCTAGCCATTCCAGATCTTAAATTGTATTATAAAGCAACAATCATCAAAACTGCTTGGTACTGGCTAAGCAACAGAGTGGTGGATCAATGGAATAGGTTAAGTATGCAAAACATAGTAGTCAATGACTGTAACAATCTATTATTTGATAAACTCAAAGACCCCAGCTTCTGGGATAAGAACCCATTCTTTGAAAAAAAAACTGCTGGGAAAACTGGAAAAGAGTATGGCAGGAACTAGATATTGATCAAAATCTCACACCATATACCAAAATAGAGTCAAAATGGGTGCATGATTTAGATATAAAGGCTGATACTGTAAGCAAACTGGGAGAGCAAGGAATAGTTTACCTATCAGATTAATGGAAAACAGAAGAATTCATGACCAAAGAGGAGATAGAGAACATTACAAAAAGCAAAATGGATAACTTTGATTACATTAAATTGAAAAGGTTTTGCACAAACAAAGCCAATGCAACTAAGATTAGATGGAAGGTTGAAAATTGGGAAAGAATTTTTACAATCAGTCTCTCTGATAAGGGCCTCGTTTCTAAAATATATAGAGAATTAAGTCAAATTTATTAAAATACAAGTCATTCCCCAATTGATAAATGGTCAAAGGATATGAACAGGCAGGTCTCAGATGAAGAAATTAAAGCCATCTATAGTCATATGAAAAAATGCTCTAAATCACTATTGGTTAGAGAAATTCAAATCAAAACAACTCTGAGGTACCACATCACACCTATCAGATTGGCCAAGATGATGAAACAAGAAAATGATAAATGTTGGAGAAGATGTGGGAAAATTGGAACACTAATGCATTGTTGGTGGAGGTGTGAAATGATCCAACCATTTTGGAGAGCAATTTGAAACTATGCTCAAAGGGCTATAAAAATGTGATACCCTTTGACCCAGCAATAGCACTTCCAGGGCTATATATCAAAGAGATCATGCAAATGGGAAAAGAACCCACATGTACAAAAATATTTATAGCAGCTCTTTTTGTGGTGGCAAAGAATTGGAAATTGAGAAGATGCTCATCAATTGCGGAATGGCTAAACAAGTTGTGGTATATGAATGTAATGGAATACTATTGTGGTATAAGAAATGATGAACAGGCTGACTTCAGAAAAATCTGGAAAGACTTGTATGGTCTGATGCTCAGTGAAGTGAGCAGAACCAAGAGAACGTTGTACACAATAACAGTGACATTGTGTGATGACCAATATTGATAAACTTAACCCTTCCCAGCAATACAAGGATCAAAGACATCTCCAAAGGCCTCATGATGGAAAATGCACATCCAAAGAAAGAACTATGGAGTTTGAATGCAAATTGAAGCATGCTATTTGCTATTTTTTCCCTTCTGTTGAGTTTTGTTTCCTCTTTCTGATGGCTCCTCCTATTGGTTCAAATTCTTACTTACAACATCACTAATATGAAAATTTGTTTACTAGGAATGTATATATATAGCATATATCAGATTGTGTGCTGTCTTGGGGACAGGAAGGGGGAGAAGAATTTTAAACTCAAAAGCATATGGAAGTGATTGTTGATAAACCAAAATAAATTACTTTTAAAAAAAAATAAAATTGCTCTCTTTCAAACTTTCCTTTTGCTACTGAAGGAATTTTCCTGCCACCCCCCAGTCACCCAGATTTGTAAACTTGAAGTCATATTTGACTTTTTTTTTCTATACTCTCTCTTTCAACCAAACCTCAATCTGAATGGTTTTCAAGTCTTGGTGGCTCTACCTCCACAAGAACGCTCACATCTTTCACTAACAACCATCCCCCTGGTTCAGAGTATCATTATTTCTTGCCTGGACTAACAGAATAGTTGTTTCTATTCTTTCCTCACTCCAATCCATCCTTTACAGAGATGCCAAAAGAATTTTCCAAAGACATGGGCTCAAAAATCATTGACTTCACATTACCTAGAGGATAAAATTAAAAGCTCCTTAATCTGAGCTATAAGGCCCTGAAAAATTTGGGTACCAAGGCAAGTCAATAACGGCAGTCCTTCATTAAACACCTACTTTGTGCCAGGCACTTGCTAAGGAAGGAGAGAGAAAAAGAACGGCAAAAAAATGGCTACTTGCTCTCAAGTAACTCATAGTCTAATGGAAGAGAAAATATAAAAATTACTATGCACAAAAACAAAACTCTCTCTTTCTCTCTCTGTCTATTTTCCCAGTTTTATTTCATATTACTCCCCTTCAGACACTATATTCTTCGCAAATTGGATGACTAGACATTCTCTGTTTTTGCACATTCACAGAAGTTATTCCTCATGCCTGGAAGAAATGCCATCTTTATCTGTGCCCGTCTGAACCCTAATGGGAAACATAGGACTTGGCCTCAATCCCTAAAGTGACTAAAGGCTAAAAGGTCTAAAGGATTACTAAATTGACTTCAAAATTTCTGCTTTTGCCTTTTTATTGTTGTTATTTAAACAATCTCAGTTGTAATGACTATTTGCTTAAGTTTTATTCTAACCTGGATGACAAAAGAAAGCGGAAATATTTTATTCTAGAAGATATTACTCAACCAGACAATTTCAGTAGGGAAAGCATGGAAGACAACCATTTCCTCCCCTTTTCATATGTTGGGAACTGGTTAATGAGTAGGAGTGAATTTATAAAATGGTTGTCCCTACTGCATATAAGGAAGAAAACATCTAAACAAATGGAGTTCCTCTTCCTGGATATATTCAAGTGGTGGTTGGATGAATACTTTTCAGGAATGCTATAGAAGGGTTCCTGGTAAGGGATAGATGGACTGAACCCATGGTTCTCTGCCGTATCTTTCATTTCTACTACCCATCTTTTCAACATCTACTAAACAGGTATGCCCCCCCTTTTTTCAGAAAAGAATTAAGATGAAAACCTCATGCCACATTAAAATAAGCCTATGAAGGGATGGAAACAACATATAATCATTGGCAACTTCAGCTACAATTTCAAACAACCACACAAATCTCTTCAATCAACCATTTCATTTATGATTTTAATATTAGTATTGAATTGTTTTGAATTTTTGTGGATCATGAATTGGAAATATTTTTACGATACTTCCTTAAGAATTACAAATTCTAAGCTGCATAGAACATATATCTTTAAGACTAAAAGTATCAATACTATGTTACAGAATAAGAAATGCATTTTGTATACAAATTGATCTTCTAAAATATTTTCTTTTTAAATGAAAAAAACTTATGTACCTTTCTTGTCAATAAAGTTTAGTGCTCTTTGGAATGTATTAACACTCCACCAGATGCTCAGAATCAAACAACTTAATAGGCATAAACTTTTCTCAAATAATTGCAAAGCTCCAATTTAGCTTTTTTGCATACCTTGCATAGTTAATTACCTAGGCCTTAATGTTTACATGCAATGAGAGTATCTACAGCTATAAACTACATAATTCATAATTGATGTAAATGGGTGTTATTATGTCAATTAAGCAGCTGTGTCCTCCACCTCTCAGTAAACAGAAATGAGTGATAAACAGAGTTTGGAGAGAGATACCTTTTTTCTTCATAACAGATAAATATAAATTACCTAGGTAGACCAAGCCGTCCAATTGTTCTCTGGTGAACAGGATGTTAAAATCAGGTTCTTTCTTTTGACCTGTTGACTGTAGCAAATAGTCAATTTCATCACGCAACACTGCAACAGCTTCTGGGTGCTGCAGAAGATAATACACTGTCCAGAATGAAGCTGGAATCGTGTTTGACACAGAGGCCCACAGAAAGGCAAAATGATGTGCTGGGAGAAAATAAGTGAAAAGGAAGATTAATAGCGTTTATTACACTGATTAGATTTGCAGTGTGCTAATTAAAAGATGTTAGGACACAGACCCAGCCAAGGATCAGTGAATGCTAATGAGGACCAATAGGCTTCTGAAGTCTAATTTTCTGCTTAATGAGAATAGTTTAAATTGTAATGTTGGAGGGGGGGTGTAAAGGGGAAAGGAAAGGAAAGGGTAAAGGGAGTAAATGCAGCTCAGTTATAATCTTTCTCATTATCACCGTTAAGTATCTTGTTTTACCACCTCAGCAAAAAAAAAAAAAAATCAATTATCATAGACGGTTGTTTCAGAGTGAAACATTTTATCATTAGCCAATTAGAAAGAGTATAAAAATTTCAAGGTCACCTTTTGTCTTTTAATTTCAAAGGTCTATAGTAAATTATTTTATTTTGACAAGTAATCACTCACAAGTTTCTTACCTCCTCTTTCATAATCCTGAAACTCTGTAAATTTCTCAAGAAGAATTTGTCTAACTCTGACAACTTCTGATATTTCTTGCATTTTGGAGATGCGCTCTGATGAAAAATATTGTATTAACTTTTTCTGAATATTCCTGATAGCTCGTAGTGACAAGGTTGGTAGAGGTGACAAAAGGCTCAAGAATTTGTTATCAAACTTGACAAAGTCTTCCATTAATTCATGGATAACTTCACCTGAATTTGTGCCAGGATCCTTCCCATAGAGGGTTAAATACGTGGCTTCAAATATTATTGATGTACAAAATTTGTATAATTGATTTATTTCTCCATTTTTGGCTTGTAAAAGTTGCTCTTTCATGATACGCTGCAGATTCTGCATTAGATTATAACTAGACGAGTCTAAAAAATCACTTTGCAGATATTTATAGGATCCTTTTATTGTTTTCATCATGTATGGTGTTCCCTTTGGGAGTAAGAAAAGTTTTCTTCCTATTTCATTTCCAAATTTGGAAAAATTAAATTGTTTGCTGTTTTTTAACACCAATGGATATTGAAATGGATCCAGTACAAAGGTAAAGTAGTTTCCTGAAAGAAAAAAAAACAGATAATTTCATGAGAATACTTGAAGGTAGCAACAGAGTTATATTAAAGGAAACTTGAAATTTTAGGTTAGTTTTTATTGGAACTAGAAAGAATTCAGTATCATAAAAATGAAAACATGAATTTATTAACAATAAACTTCAAAGTTTTCTTTAAAAATAAAAGTAATGGAAATTATTTAAGGAAAATATCCTACAGTCAAATAGAAACAGAAAGAATGGTTTAGGGTAAGAATTTGATCATTGCTCAAAAAAAATTTGATATGTGGAATAATGCCATTCATTTTTCCCTCTACGATTAGTCCTTCTCCCTTAAACTTCTCTTTATTCCTTTTATTTAAATTGCTGAGAAAGCAATATGGTGAAGTGTAAAAAGTAACCTAACAGGCCTGAGACTCAGGAACACCTTGATTCAAATTTCTGCCCCTGACACATATTGACTGTGTGATCCTGAGTAAATCACCCAACTTCTAAATGTCCCAGCCAATTTCCTTAAACTATAAACTGCAGAACAGCTTCAGATTTGCACTTACTAAAAGGAGCTCTTTGTTCTAGTGAAATCATAGGCCTGGTTAAAAAAAATTAATAACAGCTTGAATTTCTATTGCATGGTGAGTTTTGCAAAAACTTCACAAACATCACCTCATTTTATCCTTACAACAACCCCAGTGGGTAGGTGCCACTTATTGCCATTTTAGTGTTGTGTAAACTGAGACAAACAGAGGTTAAGTGACTTGTCCAGGGTCACACAGCTTTTAAGTGTCTGAAGCCAGATCTGAACTCATGTCTCCACTGTACCTCTGACTATTCTGTTGAACAACTGATGAAGATGAGGACACATAGTTAAAATATCGAATCTTAGTTGAGACAACTACTTTGAAAGACAAAACAGAATAGTTTTTTGGTTTTTTTTTTTTAGAAAAGAATACTTTATTTTCTCCTTCTGTGCTGATGATAGAATTCTGACAATCATCCACATAAAAGAACCATAGTAAGTTGGAAGGGATTTAAAATATCTACTGTATTCTTCTTCATTTTAGAATTGAGGACATTTAAGTCTTTAATTGAGGTTAGAGGAATTGTACAAGGTCACAGAGCCAGTAAGAACTAGAATACAGGTTTCCTGATTCCCAGTGTGATGTCCTTTCCATTGAGGTGATTTGCTCCTCCATGCCAAATGACTTCTCAACATACTTTCTGATTATAAGTAACTATTAGTGAATAGATATTATTTAATAAGGAGAGTTATTCAGACATTTTCTTATCTAGGGATATATTATCCAGGACAATAAAAAGCTGAGTGCTAATATAGGGGTTCTTTTCTAAACCATTATTATTCATTTATTCGATTGAGTTCCAAATTCTCTTTCACCCTTCCATCCCACTCACAGCCACTGTGAAGGTAAGCAAACTTACATCCATTATACATGTGAAATCATGCAAAACATATTTCCATACTAGTCATATAACAAAGAAAAAGAAAAAAGAAAGGAAGGAAGGAAGGAAGGAAGAAAAAGAAAAAGAAAGAAAGAAAGAAAGAAAGAAACAAAGAAAGAAAGAAAGAAAGGAAGGAAGGGAGGAAGGAAGGAAGGAAGGAAGAAAGAAAGGAAGGGAGGAAGGAAGGAAGGAAGGAAGGAAGGAAGGAAGGAAGGAAGGAAGGAAGAAAAAAAGAAAAGACAGCAAAAAAATTATACTTCAGTTTGCTCTCAGTTCACCAATTTTCTCCCTGGAGGAAAACACCATTTTTAAAAAATCATAAGTCCTTTGAAATCGTCTTGGATTACTGCAGAGCAGACAAGTCTTAAATTGATCATAATTACAACATTGCTGTTACTGTGCCCAATGATTTCCCATTTCTTCCTACTTCATATGAGTTTTGCCATGAAACCTACCCCTCATCATTTCTGATAGTACAATAGTACTCCATCACAATTATATGCTACATCTTGTTTATCCATTCCCTAACTCATAAGCATCTCCTAAATGTCCAATTATTTGCCACCACAAAAAAGAGTGGCTATAAATATTTATGTACATATTTCCTTTACCTTTGATATCTTTGAGGAACAGACCTAGTAGTGGTCTTGCTGGGTCAAAGGGTATGCATAGTTTGATAGCCCTTTGGGCATAGTTCCTGATTGTTCTCCAGAATGGTGGGACCAGTTCTCAACTCCACCAACAATTTGTTAGTGTGCCTCTTTTCCTTCATCCCTTCTAGCAATGTCATTTCTGATTGGTGTGAGGTGGTACCTCAGAGTTGTTTTAATTTGCATTTTTATAATCAATAGTGATTTAGAGCATTTTTCATATGACTATAAATAGCTTTGATTATTGCTTCTGAAAACTGCCTGTTCATATGTTTTGACCATTTATCAATTGGGGAGGAGCCCTTATTTTTACAAATTTGACTCAGTTTCCTATATATTTGAGAAATGAGGTCTTTATCAAGAAACTTATGTAAAAATTTTTTGATGTTACTTCATTTTCCATGGTACCATTTTTTTTGCAAATTTTTAAAATTTTAAACTTAAATACAAAATGAGAAAAGAAAAAAAATTGCCTGTACACAGCAGACCAAGAGAGAGGATTCAATATAAAACAATAAATTTCCATTTCAAGAAAACATGTGTAATAAATACTACACAGTATTTTCTTTCTTTTCTTTTCTTTCTTTCTTTTTTTTAGGCAATTGGGGGTAAGTGACTTGCCAAGGGTCACATAGCTACTAAGTGTCAAGTGTTTGATCTGAGGCCAGATTTGAACTCAGGTCCTCCTGACTTCAGGGTCGGTGCTTTATCCACTGTGCCACCTAGCTGCCCCCTATACTGTTTTCAAAGCTGCCTAACTTTTTTTAGCTTCCTTGTTGATTTCTTTTGTTCTCTGCAGTGAACTTTGTACTTTACTTTTCCCCTTCCCCCCACCCTAAAGAAGGCTACATTTAAGTGTGGATATATATACATATATGCAGATATTGACAAACATACCCATATATACACATATATTCTCATATATCTGTAAGACCATACTATGCTTATTTCTAGCTGTCATCTGTTTCTCTGAAGGTGGATAGCATCTTCCTTCATAGGTCCAAGACTTTCCATGTTTTTCTAAATGAACCAACTCATCATTTACACCACAGCAATATTCCTACCCAATCACATCCTATCTGAGAGAATGTTTATGAAAGTTTTCCCTATTTTTCTACATTCCTTCTGTTCTTGGCTATATAGGTTTTATTTACATAATACTCTCTCTCATAATATAGTTTAAGGTCTGATACTGTTGAATCTACTTCCTTTATATTTTTTCCTGGTTTCTTTGAAGTTCCTGACCTTTTGCTCTTCCAAATTCACTTTGTTATTATTTTTTTCTAACTCAGTAAGATAATTTTTTAGTAATTTGATTGGGATGACATGGAATAAACAGATTAGTTAGGTAAAAATGTCATTTTAAAAATATTGACTTTACTTACCAATGAAAACTAAATATTACTTCAATTATTTAGATCTGAGTTTATTTGCATAAAAATGTTTTATATTTATGTTCGTATAGTTCCTGTGTCTGTTTTGGCAGGTATACACTCAGGTATTTTATACTGTCTAGGTATTTTAAATGGTCTAAAACAATACTGAATAATATTGCTGACACATAGTGTAGTTTCTCTATTTTCCACTTTTGATTAATTCTATTTTAACTTTAACTTTGTCTGAGATCGTGATTACTATCCCTACTTTATTTTTACATAACAAATTCTACTCCTGCCTTTTATTTTATCTTTGTGTGTATCTCTCATTTTTATTCTGTTTCCTGAAAGCAATATATTGCTGAATTCAAAATTTTAATCTGTTATCCATTTCCATTTTATGGGTAAATTTGTCCCATTCACATTCTAAGCTATAAACACTTCTTGTGTATCTTCCTCCTTCCTATTTTTCCTCACTATCCTTCTCTCCCTATTTACCCTATCTCTCCTCACTCCTCTGCTTAACTTCTACCCATCATCTTGCTCTCCTATTCCTTAACCTACTCACCCCTCCAAAAGTGTCTCCCTTATCCTTTCTCCTTGCCTTCTTTTCCTTCTAAATTTAAAAGACTTTTGTACCCTTCTAGATATTACACACACACACACACACACACACACACACATATTTCCTCTTTAACCCATTCCCATTAAGAGTAATATTCCAGCACTACCTGCCCTCCCCTCTACTAGCTTCTTCTGTATCATTATTTTTCTTTTATCCCTCATTTGTATGAGATACTTACTCCTTTTTATCTCTCCCTATACAGTTTTTTTTTTAGAATTACCCTACCATACACAGCTCAGCACAAGGCTTTCTTTCAAACTACCCAAATAACAATGACAATCATAAGAGTACTGATAATATTTTCACATATATGAAGTAAACAATTTGATATTATTGAGTGTCTTATAATTGGTCATGAATGTTTACCTCATATTTCTCCAGGATGTTATATGTTGAATTTTCTTTTAAGTTCTGATGTTTTGTCACAAATACCTGAAAATCTTTCAATTCATTAAATATCCATTTATCTTTTTTCATTCAGGATTATACTTAACTTTACTGAGTAAGTTACCCTTGGTCACAACCCCAGCTCTTTTGCTCTAAAGAATATAATATTCCTGGCCCTACAGTCCTTCAATGTAGTAGCTGTTAGATCTTGTGTAATCCTTATTGTAGCGCCATGATATTTAATTTTTTTCCCTTGTTGCTTGCAATATTTTTTCCTTAACATAGGAACTTTGAAACTTGGCTATTGTATTCCTGTATGTTTTCATCCTGGGATCTCTTTCGGGTGGTGATTGGTGTATTTTTTCTATTTCTGCTTTGCCTTCTTATTCTAGAACTTCAGTGCAATTTTCCTTGATAATTTCTTGTAATATTGTATAAAGATCCTTTTTGTTTTGTAATTTTCGGGTAGTCCAACTATTCTTATAATATCTTTCCTCAATCTGTTCTCTAA